TCAAGTATTTCAAAACATAAAATGATAATTGTAAATGGACATCGACTAGTTTATTCATATATTGAGAAAGAACTTATATAGCATAGGATATATCCGGTCTTGTAAAAGTCGGATACAACAATTTACCTACCAACCGTCGATATACCATGGGATCGTCAAGAAAACCGGACTAAGCTTGTAGTAGTTTACTATTGGGATTAATAGGAGTGGACATCGGCTTAGCCCCCAACAAACGATGTTCGGTTAACAAATCTAAAATAAATTTTTGTTGGCATATGAAAATTCCAATAGAGGATCGAACAACCTCTATGCCAAGAAAGAATTTGAGTTCCTCTAAATCTTTCAGCTTAAATTGGGAGTGTAAAAAATGCTTAAAATCTATAATAGCAACGCCATTATTGATTGCAACCACTATATCATCAACATAAACTAACTAAGCAATGAAAGTATTAAAGGAGACTCGTTTAACAAAGAGTGAATAATTTGCCTTAGATCGAGAAAAATCGAAAGACAACAACACAAGTAGTGAGTTTAGAGTTCCATCGCCTGCGAGCTTGTTTCAAGCCATATAGAGACTTCTACGGCTTATAAACGAGTCGTGTATATGCACCCTCAATCGAATAGCCGGATGGGAGATACATGTAAATAAATTCATCTAAATCTCCATTAAGAAACGTATTATTGACATCCAATCGAGAAAGATGCCATCCTTGAATGGTCGCAAGAACCAAAAATAAGTGAACCGTTGTTTGCTTCAACACAAGGTAGAAAGTTTCCTAAAAATCATACCCTTGCCTCTAACTATATCCTTTGGCCACTAACTCGGGCCTTATATCTATCAATAGAACCATCTACTAGCTTGAGTTTGTACACCCATTTATAACCAATGGTATGTTGGTCGGGAGGAAGATCAACCACTTGTCTAAGTATTGTTTTGATCAAGAGCATCAAGCTCGGCCTTCATGGCTTGTTGCCAATGAACAGATCGCATAGCTTAGTGATATATGCGAGGTTCATTGATTTATGAAATAGAAGCAATAAATGAAATGTGTGAAGGTGATAATTATGCAATGGCAATACAATGGTGAATAGGAAAAGCAGTAGAAAGACAAGTATAAAATGATGAATTATCAACGGTATAATCGATCGGATAGCAAGGTGGTTTAGTAATTCTAGAGCTTCTATAACGAGTTGAATATGAACAACTAGGTTTGAAGAATCCGTGAGTAAGACATCTTCAAAAGGATTGGAAATAGAGATCACAGTTGAATCATGTTGATCAAATAAGGCAAAAGGTTGTGTGGATGAAGAAAAAGGTCGCCGAGAAATTACGTCGGGCATATCATGATGCGTATAAGGTGAGATGATGTTGGGAATGATAGGCATAGATGAAGGAGAGGTAAAAGAAAACAAAAAAACATACTCATAAAAAGTAACATCCTTGGAAATAAAAACAGATTTGGAAATTAGATCATATAATTTGTATCATTTCATGCCATTCGGATATCCAATGAACACACACTCGCCTAGCTCGAGAGTCAAATTTCTTCCTATGCGTAGAGAGAATGAAATCAAAACAAATGTAACCAAACATACGCAAATGGGAATAAGAAAGAAGTTTATAAAACAAAGACTCATATGGAGTTCTATTTTAGAGAATGGGTGTGGTGTTCTATTAATCGGATAGTCTGCAGTAAGAACCGCATCTCCCCGTAAAGTGATTGGAAAATATGATCTGGAAAAGTAAAGCTCTAGCCACAATTAACAAATGCTAGTGTGTACGTTCAACAAGGTCATTTTGTTGAGGTGTTTCAATACAAGATAATTGATGAACAATGCCCTTTTCGCAGTACAAATTAGAAAGATTAAACTCGGGACTATTGTCTAACCTCAACTCGCTTAATATGAAATCCAAATTGATTCAAAACAAGGTTAAAAAATACGAGCACTAATAAATATGTAATTTGACTTATGTTTCATAAGAAACACCCAAGTCATTCGTGTGAAGTCATCAACAATAGGAAGAAAATAACTATACTTGTCATGAGATGCATTAGAATAAGGCCCTCAAATGTCATCATGTATTAATTGAAATAGATTAGTTGTACTTGAAGTATGAGTAGAAAAAGGAATTCATTTGTGTTTAGCCATTGGACAAATAGTACAAGGAATGTGATTAACTTTTCTATCAATAGAAACATCGAACATACTTGATGAAGACATTTAATCTGTCATGAATGAAAGGAACTTAAACTACAACATATATGATTTGATGCTCTACAGTGTCCATTATCCAGGATTCACTATTCATAAGGCAAGTTAATTGTGTTGAGATTTATGTGCAAAAATAAAAATGTGAAGAACTAATATCTGTCATAATGGATGAATAGGAAGTAGGAACATTAGAGGGTGCATTCTCTTAATTGAGAATGGTCATTAAATGTTGAATCCGATGTTGAGTCAACAATCCTTGTAAGCAATGGATTATCCACCTTGGTCGTCATAGATGAGTCAACATTTGAACCAACATTCTCGACAAAAAATGCATAGTAGACATACTAGATGCATTTATAGGAACGAAGCGAAGGCTCGATAAATGAGTGATCACGGCATTAGTTATCAACCGATTGCCTTTGAACCTAACAAACTTGGGATTAGAAGGAAATCCAATCATTTTGTAACATCTCGTCTCTAGAATGTCCCGTTGTTCCATAGTGTGTGCAACACAATTGCATTCCTAGGCCTATTATGAAGAGCTCATCTAGTTGCTTGCCATGGTCGATGATTCTATAAAAGGTCGCTAAAATTGAAGATGTGTATGCCTCCGTGACTCTTTCCTCACAACCAAATTATAAGCCTCGTCCGGAGTAGGAAATGGCTTCATCATCACAACATGTGATCTCGAGCGGTAAAAGACTCATTCGAGTCCATTCAAGACCGAAACACATAGTCTTTTCGTTGTAAATCAAAATATTTCTGAAGCAATCGAACTATACTTTCCATACTCACAATAAGCTAACGACTCGTAACTCCTCAACTACTCCCAAACGGAATTCAAGTCGATAAATTACTCATCAACACTACGATTACCTTGATTAATCACACATAATTCATGTTTTGTAGATTCTAGATTTTAGAATCATCTATCTAAGAAAAATGTTTCTTCAATACTCGTCAAATCTCCGTAGCTGAATCCATATAAAAGATTGTTGCGAGCAATCGGAGGTGAGATCGACTTGAGGAGCCAAGAGATGATGAGATTATTGCAACGCAACCAAGGTCCATAAATTGCACTCGTCTCGACTCGGTATAACAATCGAACCACCAACAAAACCGATCTTATTTCGATTTGAAAGTGTAAGCATAAAGGAACGACTCCATACAGCATAGTTACTTGAAACTAATTCGGCGAAACTATCGTCGTACTATGATTATCGAGTGATGAAGATAAAATGGAGACCGAGGATCATCCACAAAAACTACAGGAAAAGAATTCGCCATTATTGCTCGAAGAAGAAGGAATAGCTAAACCAAACGCTCCGATACCATGTTTGAAAAGGAAGAAATGAACTTGCAACTACATAAGGAAAATGAAGAACAACAAGAAGCTAAAATGAGAGGATACAATGAAGCTACTTCTTCTCATTAATCTTTAGATACTCTGTAACAAGCCACACCTATGAAATGAAGAATCATTCCTTATATATTACAACTAGCTAGGAGAAGAAGAACGAAACTCTAATCAGTTACAAAAAGAAAAAAATAACAAACTAAACAAGAAATGTAAAAACACGTTTTGAAAACAGGTGCAACTGATTGATATAGCCATTACAATAAGTAAAGAATAGAAACGCCCTTGCTTTATTTCTAATATTTATTAAGAAGAAACATAGTCATTAATTAAATTATGAAGCAGGTTTGTTTTTAGTTTTCGTCCGTTGATTAAGGTATTGATAATTCGTTTTTCGCACATGAGATCAATATTTTTGTTGCCCGATATTAAGCATAGCAGCTAACAAAGAATGTATGCTTTTATACAAAATTATTTTTTAACAGTTTTTGCATAAAAAAGAAACACAATAGCTTCCAAAGGTCACAAGAAAGTTTCTGAAATAAGGGAGAAGAGTGCTAAAGATTATGCAATTTGCCTTTTATATCTTTTCTAGCATATGCAATGTGAAGAATCCCCTTCCCAGATCAAAATTTCTTCACCTGCTTAAACACTCTAGGAGGCTCTTGCACAATCCGTGCCATAATCACATCTTAGGGTTAAATAAAAAAAATTAAAATATAAGATCCCGAAACTCAATTTGAGGTCAGATACATAGTACAGCGTCAGTTAAGCGAAAGAAACATAGTAACACAACTCACCAATACTAACAAGAAACGTGGCAGCTCCTCGACCAGTTGTACTGACACCGATTTAGCAGAGCAGATAAACCGGGGGTGGCCGACAAGTCGACAACCTGATTTTGTGGACAGCAACACCCCTTCTTTCTCACCCGTCCACGTGCCTCTCTCATAACGGCCCTGATTCCCTGGCCTTCCGTACGGTCGAATTCCTTACTATTGAAATCCTAAATAACACCCCACTTTAACACCAAACAGCCCCAGACCATGTTGGGTGTTTTCGAAATTTCATATGTATGGACAACGTATGCAAATCTAGATGTGGTAGAGGGTTAATTTCGGCAATACAAATTAAAATATAAAAAAATGTTGTAACTTGCTAGAAGAAGATTTGGAAGGGGATATTTGTCATATGAGTTCAGGACTCACTTTGAGCTCTCTTTCTTTCTTAGTCGGTTTCTAATTGACAGGTTTCTTAAAATCACAAGCTGAAAAGTCGATGGCATAATACTCCATTTTTTCAACTTTTCTTTGAATTGGTATGAAACGATTTTGACGCTACCCTAAAAGAAAGAAGAAAAGAGAAAAGCTGAGAATTCTATCTGTTTGTCAAGTGAAGTTAGCTAGCGCGTGGCTGAGGAGCTTGAGAAATGCAAGACATCCACTCACTTGGAGGCGGAGGCAGGTTATTTGGCGGTGGAGGTGACAGTAGACTACGGCCACACCATCAGCAAAACCACCAAGCATTAAAGTGCCCAAGATGTGACTCCCTGAACACAAAATTCTGCTACTACAACAACTACAACCTCTCTCAGCCTCGTCACTTCTGTAAGGGTTGCCGGCGTTACTGGACTAAAGGTGGTGTTCTCCGCAACGTTCCTGAAGGCGGTGGATGCCGCAAGACCAAGCGGTCTAAGCCTAAACAAAACACACCGAGTACAACTTCTGATACAATTACGGTCTACAGTAGTACACCGCAGCAGCTACAGGAACAACATGAGCAACGAGATCATAAATCCTCCAACTCTCATTCTAGTAGTGAGAGTTCGAGTCTTACTGCTACAAATAACCCGAATGCAAATACTGCAGTGGAAGCAGAGTGTGCTCTTTCTGTAAGCTCGGTCTCCAATAATTTATTAAACGGTATTGTTGAATCCAAAATCTTTCCGCACGGGAATTTGAATCCGAGTTTTGAAACTGCTTTGCTCGAGCAAGGATCGGACTGTGGGATTTTTTCGGAGATTGGGAGTTTCACAAGCTTGATCACATCGGCCAACGAATTGTCGTTTGGGTTAAGTAACACAATGAACCAGCAGCAACACCAGCAACAGGGGCTTGAACATCATGTGCAACACCATCAGAACCAGCAGCAGTGGCAAAATCATCAACAGCAGGAGATGACAGGAGGAGGGTTGGTTGATCAGACGGTTCACGTTGAGTTATCGGCTTTGCCGAGTAGTAGATCATCAGAGAATAATGGTGGGGGATTTGGAGCTTTGGATTGGCAATTAGGGAGTGGAGATCAAGCTGGTGGTTTGTTTGATCTTCCTAATGCCGCTGATCAAGCTTACTGGAGTCAAAGCCAGTGGAATGATGACGATCACCCTAGTCTCTACCTCCCGTAAATCTCCTTACTTTTTTTAACTTGAAATTACAGAAGAATTATATATATATATATATATCTCTAAAAAATTGGACAAAATGGAAAATATAAGTCGAGAGACTATGGAAAATATAATATGACTGCTTTCCTTTTATGTAATTTTCTTTTTCATATTATTCTTCTTCTTCATCTTTTTCTGGGGTATATTTGGTGATTTGGGAAGGTGTTGGGGTTTGATCTTCGATGTTTATGTACAACAACTAACTTTCATGTTAGTTCGTTCCGCTTTTCTTTTTCCCTTCTAATTGTTTTGGAAGGCTTTTATTTCTGATGTATCTGGGATGAAATGAAATCAAGATATAGAGAAAATAGAGTGTTTTGTTTTGTTTGATTGATCGACGAATGAGTAATGTCTCCTCCTTATCTTTTAATCTTCTCAAAGTAACCAAAGCTTAATTGATTAATTAATTCGTGATTAGTGGCTTAATACAAGAGTCAAACTAGAAACGCTCACTTGAGAACCGGCGCCGTCACTGTTTCCATAGATAATGGTTTTGCTAAATACAATTTACATGGGAGATTAAATTGATCTTTTAAAGTGCAATAGTTGTGTACGGACTCAAGTGGGAGTGTACCGGTCTGGTGAGGTTAGCAGCAGATGATAGGCGTGGTGGAGGTGGTGGGTGGGGGTCCACGAGGGTAGTGACCAGTCCCATGCGTGATTATAACTCCACGTGGCGGTGGCATGGAGAGGTTGGCGAATGGGCTATTAATGCTTGTTTCCACGTGGATTCACCTAATTGGATGAGACTTATACTGAGAGAAGGATAGTCGGTTTGTCCTGGCTTGCTCTAATCTCTATCACTCGACGCAATGCATCAGGAACGATGTAGACTTGAAATAGCGGTTAACAGTAATAGCATGTTGATTGGGAAGGTAAAATGTGAAATAAAAAAAATAAAAAATGGCGATGACGTTGCAGGGCTGATATGGGACCTGGATTAGGTGGGGGAGACACAGCTCGTAGAACTGTGAAGGCCTGGTCATGGGGCATGTGCAGAAGTGGTCCCCCGTATGAGTCAGTCACGCATTTGGCGGGTATATGTGACGCTGTTTTTGATGATTTTGGTGCCCACCATCGCCATGCATGTTTTTAATTTTTCTGACTGATCAGATAGAGGGTTTCTGTTGTTTTAATGCGAAAGAGAAGTTTCCCATGCCATGTCACAACAATTTTTTTTTTTTTTTTTAGGGACTTAATTATGGCTCTGGTTCAATCCAGTCACCGCGATAGTTGTGATTTGTTTTCTGTGCACGTCATGGAGAGCAGAGCTAGATGGGAAACTAGGTCGATATATGGTATGGAGTTTTGATCGTTTGCAGAGTTGGGAGATATTAATGAGTGTACTGTTGCTGCTGTTGTTGTTTCTAGATTCAACCCTCTCCCCACTTGTAATCGTACGGCGCGAGGACTTCCTTTCGTATAGTGGAGGGGTCCTTCGGGTCGAGGGTTGCGGACTGTGATGTTTAATATTTGTTGTTATGATTGATAGATATTTTCGGGAGAGGTGGAATACTCTTGGTGATGGAGGAGATTCTACTTCGCTCAAGTTTAATAATATTAATAATCAATCAATATTATTTTTTATTTTTTTATATTTAATGTATATTTTATAGTATTTTATACCTTTCATGTTTTTATTTAATTTAAACATATTTTATAAATGTATTTGATTTTGATAAATTAAAAACATATGTAAATTTAATTTTTTTATGTGCAGTAAAATTCTAATCAGAAGAGCCTATAGTTGAAAGCAGTCAAGAATGGGAGTAAATTATAAATTATTCCCTTTAATTTTGCAAAATAAATGAAATAGTCCTTCTTATGTCAAAATCAATTAATTAGCCAATTAACCAATGTTGATTATAGTTAATTTAACATTATTTTTTAAAAATGCCTTATTTTCTGATTAGACTTTTCATGTTATTTCTTATTTTTATCCCTAAAAAATAAAATGCAAAAAAAATTAGAAAAAAAAATTAATTCACAAATATATGTAAAAAAAACAAAAGGACTATTCATTAGTTTTGAAACAAGAGGCATTATTTAATTTATTTTGCAAAACTTAGAGGGACTAATTTATAATGTACTCTCAAGAATTGACATCAAAATGGTATCCGAGCAATATATATTGGAATGGTACTTAATTTTAGTTGATGAGTCTATAATATTGATTAAAAAAAATCTCATTATTATCCATTTGAAAGTTCAATTTTTTTATTTTGTCTTTTTGTAATTTCAAATATTAATTTCTATTGATTTAAATCTAATACTAAATTTATAAAGAAAAATGATAAGATCAAGTAATGAATTATTTTATGTGTCTATGCCACTTTAAATGAATAAAGAATCACATTTTTTAGACAGGTTGAAGAATTATCATTAATCACTAAATTCTTGTATTTTTTTATCATTTTTTCTTCTAAATATTAATCTATCAATAGTGGGATTTTTTTTTTTTTTTTTTAATGTAGTGCTATACCACTCCGCTTAAGCATCATCATTATAAAATTTTGAAAATCATGCATTTTAGGTTGAACTACTTTTTTACTCTCATTACGCTACGAATCGGACAGAATATGTAAAATTATTTTTAAAAATAATTTTAGTTTGGTTGTACGTGTTATATTATGTTTATACTAAAATATATCAAAATAAAAAATAAAAAAAATATTTTTTTTAAAAATACTATGTTTAACTAATTATTCATTGTTTTTTTCATTATTTTTTTGCTAAAAAGAACATGATTTATTCTTCTATGTCCGCATTCTTAACTAAAAACTTGTGAGAAAATTAAAAAATCCATGGATTCTTAACTAAAAGCTTTTTTTATATATAATTTTTTTCCTTAAACAAATCGAAACAAATTATCTAAAAAACACTTTTAACTTTTAATCTTTATATATATAACCATTCTACTATCATTTAAAAAATTGAAAGATTTTGTCATATAAATTACATCGAAAAAATTTTATGAGCAAATAACAATATTCTAAAAATTCATACATAGATCTCTCTCTCTCCTCTTCCTCTCTCTCTCTTCATTTTTCTCTCCTCTAAGTAGTTAGAAATCAAATTACAATACAAATAAAATTACGTATCGAAATAAAATTTGTTAAAAAAAAAAAGGAACGAAAGAACAACATGAGTAAAAATTTACATATAAAATGCTTGAAAAAACCTCAAAATTATTTATATAACAAAAAAATTCAATGCATAGTAAAAAGGAGAGGGGTTGAATAGTGTTGTGGGCCAAATAAATGCCTAAAAAAACACCTAAAATAACAAAAAAGCCATTTTAAAAAAATTATAAAAAATGCCATTAAGCAAATTGTGTCATGTGAATATGTGAATAGTATAGAAATAGTGAAAACCCCTTCTCTTTTATAATTCTTTATAAAGAGCAAATAATAATATTTTAAAAATTTATACATAGATGTTTCTCTCCTCTCTCCTCTCTCTTCATTTCTTTCTCCTCTCAACTGTTAGGGAGCAAATTACAATACAAATAAAGTTATGGATCGAAATAAAATTTGTTGAAACAATAAGGGACTAAAGAATAAAATGAGTAAAAATTTTACATATAAAATGCTTGAAAAAACCTCAAAATTATTAAAAAAAATAAAAAATAAAAAACCATTCAATGCATAGTAAAAAGGGAAGGGGGCGTCAAAAGTTTAATCTACTAGGTGAGACCTCAAGATATGATATATATTATTCTCTAACACACGTTTGGACTTAAAATTTACATATGCTCACACTACCTTATGCTTAATTAAGTAAAAGAGAAAGTATAGGTGATAGGATTCGAACTCTTAACCGTTCAAGTAGAAAGGCTTTGATACCATGTCAAATGACCATCTCAATCAAAAAATTTAAATTGTTAGATAAAGCTTCAAAATATGATTTATATTATTCTTTACCATGAGGTTGAATAGTATTGTGGACGAAATAAATGTATGAAAAAACACTTAAAATAACAAAAAGATCATTGTTTTAAAATTATAAAAATGCTATTAAGTGAATAGTATTTTTTGAGTATGTGAATAGTATAGGAATAGTGAAAACCCCATCTCTTTTAAGGTTTTTTGTAATAATTAATAATTATCAAACATTGATTATTGGTAAAAAAAATTTTGATAACTAATACTAATTTCTTCTAAGGTTGTATGGCGATATTTGAAAAACAAGAAAAAAAAACTAAAAAAAAAACTATGTAAAATAATCATTAATTCTTTGTGAGGTTGAGTGAAAAAATGACTAGTAACCATTAATTATTGGGGAAATTGATTTTGAGATAATATAAAAAAATGGAAAAATAAAAACATATAGAAGGAAAAAAAAAAAAAAAAGGCAAAAAAGCATGTCAGGCTTGCTTGCGTGGCACTGGAGGGGTCTTTTGGTACGATCATCTTTCGCAAGTGTAAATTAAGAAAGAAAAATAGATAAATATACTTGGACAATATTAAAGCTTGACAATAAAGAAATATAATTAACTTATACAATTTATAAATTGGATTTCAAAATGCAATCAGACACTTGCTGCTTTTTTTCAATTATTATTTTGTATCTCAAACGATTTATGATCACAAAATATTATTAGAAATCGCATAAATTAAATTGAAAACACATTAATAATCGTTTTATTGAAATTTTTCTAACCAATATATATTCTAAATTGCATAACTTGATGATTCAAAAAAATTTAATCAATAAAAAATGTACGTCATATCATTTTTATTTTATAAGATGTCTGATGAATATAACAAAATTTTAAACTTTATATTTTAAGAAATAGTAATGAATAAACTTTATATATAAAATTTAACCTACATCAAGATATCGATTTATTTTTAGAATTTATTTAATGAAAGCTAAAACAAATTAATTATTTTTTAAAAAATTAGTTTGATCTATGTAGTAAATGTGTGATTCTTAATTAACATCTAAAATTATATATATTTTTATACAATCAAAATTTATGTCATAAATAATTTTGATAAAACTTTTAAAAGGCATTTTTTAAGGAAAAAAATTAAAATTAATCCAAAAAAAAGAAAGCAAGCCCGGCCAGTGCGCTGGGGCTTGCAGGCCAACACGCAAGAAAAAATTAAAACCGAAAAAAAAAAGAGGAGGCGAACAAAAACAAATGGGGTGAAAAATCAAATCAATATCAATAAAAATATTGAAGCTGTTGTTGCTTGATTTTATACTTGTAGCTCGTCTCTGCAATTTTGGATGACCATTTGGTCGCCAAAAAAATCGAGGGTATTCGGTTTTGGCCCTCTAAAACTAAATTTTTAATCTTTTCTCGTCTAAAATATTTTAAAATCATTCTAAACACTCCTAAATACTTAGTTTCAACCTCAAAACTTATCTTAATCAACCATATAATGTAAAAAACGAATAAAAACTTATCTTCCTACACGCTATTTCAGTACTGATAACCATTTTTAATCAATTTCTTTCTCAAAAGTGAATCCATAGACACCAACATCAAGGTGTTTGTGACCAAACCTTAACTGAGTTCTCTCTTTTCTTCTTTTCTACCACTTCTTTCTCATCTCTCTCAACATTAAGGGCCAAAATTTTAAAACAAATGAAGTTCATGATCAGTTCATATAAACCTTTGAATCCCAAAAAACTAAAGCGAATTATATTTCTAAGAAACAACTTAATCTTTTTGAGGAACAATGTCATTTTTGCTGGTTTAAACTATATGGAATTCTAAAACATTGTTTGATGAGCACTACAATTGAATCTGGTGCTATGATAAAACCCTTCATCTTTTTTAGTTTTTTTGTTTTAAAAATTAATTATATCAGCTCCGTGTATTTTATAAAATTATGAGATTTTGAGATGTTCTTGTTTAACTTCAAAAATTAAAAACCTTTAATGAGAAAACTGCATTTTAACGAGAAAATTGCAATTTAAGTATTCAATCGGTAAATTCTTTTATTTAAGTACTTAAGCTTTGAATTTTTATTTTTTCACAATCACTTAAGATTGAACAATATTGATATGTCTACGATGAATTGTCACGTGATCATTTTTAACCAACAAGTGACAAAAAATGAATCCTATTAGGATTGTATAGAAAAAAAATTACAATTTGAGTCCCTAACTTGTAATAATATTTTTAGTATCCAACTTTTGATTTTTTTTTTTATTTGAGTTTCCTCAATCACACGAGAATGAAAAATATTGACATGATTGAGATTCACTAACAAGCGGTATTCTTTAACTAATATGTGACAAAAATTGGATTCTACTTAACTTTATTGAGTAAAAAAACAATTTGAATCTCTTTCGAGATACGTAAGGCACCCATATGGCCTTTGAAGGATGGCTAGTCACTCCCGCTCGACTTCCTGAAACTAAGGAACTTGCTTTAGATCGGCTCATTTGGAGGCGATTTTCCTACATCTTTTTTGTTCTTGTTAAGAAAGTCCCGAAGAGAGTACGGATCCATTTTTTTTGCTAAATTCTTCTTTTTTATTGTTCTGTCAAAGGTTTCCTTATCGCTCGGATATCTCTTTATGGACGAACTCCAGAAGGCGGTTGCGCTATTCTATCCCTCTTCCTTTGCTTGAGAGTCTCTGTGGTTCGTGTTTTCCTCGCCCATAGTTCTTTTATGGTACCTTTTGGTATGTATCGCCCCCATTGATAATTTTTTTACTTTAGTCCAACTTTTGATTTTTTTTCTATTTGAGTTCCTTCACTATATAAATTATCAAGTTCATTCAAATAACAATAATTGATTTTGACATATATTAATTCATTTAAGGTTAAAACTCTTTGATTGGAAAAAAAGAAATATTAGATGATGATATTTGTGAAGTGTTTTAAAAAATTGATAAGTAAGCTTGTCGAGTTTTTCGACTAACAATAATTAATTTTGATTTTTTTTTAATTATTGCCGACCATTTCTTTATATATATATAAATTTTTTCCTCAATAAATCCAAATGGAGCCTACTTTTGCCACGTGTAAATAAAATAATGTCATGTTTAATAGACTCCATCTATGTCAATATTTTTTAGTCTCATATGACTAAGAGAACTCAAATAGTAAAAAAAAAAAAAACAAAAAAAAATTAAGCATTAGACACTAAAAAAAATAATAATAATCAAAGATTAGACGTTCAAATTATACTTTTCTCTAACCCCTTGTTTGGATAGGGTGGAAAGCGGGGAGAGGAAAGAAAATGAGGGTGAAAAGAAATGTTTCGTCATTTGGGAAGTGGGAGGAAAGCGAGTGGAAAGAAAAAAAAAAAACAATGCAAAAATGGTGAGACCCATTTTTCTCCCAAAATTGGGAGGAAACGGGGAGAAAAGGGTGAGATAAATCTTTTTTTTTGTTTTTGCATTTTTGCCCTCGCAGGCAGTCCCCTCATTTCTTCTCTCGCATAAACATATCTACAGAATAGATCTCCATCATCCCGAATAATGGATGCAAAAGTTCACAATCTCTCTCTTATTTTTTTGTTGTTTCGACCACGAACAAACCTTAATTCCTCCGTCAAACTCTATCATCCTCGAAATTCCAGCTTATCCATACCTCAATCAAAATCAGCAAAGCTAAGGTTTCGATCATCGCCACTATTGGCGTCATCTAGTTCCGTCACCAACACCGATACTTTGAAGGTCCAAAAAGGAGACCCAATCACTATTTTCTTATTTGCACTCGCACTCGCACCTCTTTACAAACAATCACAATAGAGGTCGTAGTTGCTACAATTGGATCGAGCATTTCTCAATAGCACCGTTGATCTTTTGGTGCGAAGTTGGATTCTCCTCCGGTTCTAGATTTCTTCAAACGCCAAAAGCTCGACAACGGATCGATGAAAAAGTTGGTAGAAACATTGAATTCTATCAATGGCACAGTCACCGATGCCGAGGAGAAGGAGATTACCGTGGCGACTATGAAGAACCGGCTTGATGATGTTAAAGTTGCTGTCTATGACGTTGAAGACTTGTTGGATGAGATTGATTATGAAGCTCAATGATCGAACCGGAAGCCGACGACCCTCAAACCAGCGCAGATCCGGTGCGAAACTTTTCTCGTCTCTTAAAGTTCCATCTAACAAAGAAAGTAAGAGATGGTAAAAAACTTGGAAAAGATCTTTCGGAGACTCGGAATGATTAGAGAAAAAAACTCATAGTCTCCATATGATAAGACGTGTTGGAGAAAGACCAACATCATAGTCTATGCCAACAACTTCTTAATTTGGTGGTTCTCAAGTTTTTGGCATGGAAGACGCTCCGAATGCCATAATTAACTTGTTGTCTGTCGGATGGTGCACAAGGCAAAAGCTTAGAAGTGATTCCCATAGTGGGAATGGGTGGGATTAGTAAAACCACTCTTGCTAAGTTTGTCTATAATGAGAGTGAGGTGCAAAATTGGTTTGATCCGAAAGCATGGGTCTATGTTTCATAAGATTTTGATGTTCTCAATCTCACAAAAGACATTCGAAGGAAGTTGGTTTGTCGGATTGTGATTCCATGACTCCCAATCAACTTCACTATGAGCTCGAAAAGAAATTGATGGGCAATAAATTGTTGCTTGTTTTAGATGATGTTTGGAGTGCTTGATAAATGGAAATGGGACTTTTTACTCACGCCAATGAAGTCCGGGCTGCAAGGAAGTAAGATAGTCATTACGACTCGCGACCAAAGTGTAGCATCGGTCTTGCCAAGTGTTTTGCCTCATCATTTGCGGGAAATAAGTGATGAAGATTGCTGGTCATTGTTTTCGAACATGCTTTTGGTAGTCAAAATTTCAATTTAATTTCACATTTTGAAGAAATGTTTCATCCGAAATAGTGAGAAGGTGAAAAAGCTTGCCTTTAGTCGTGAGATAACTTGGGAGTCTCTTGAAATCCGAAACGGATGTTGAGAAGTGAAAGAAAATATTGAAGAGCGATCTATGGGATCTACGAAATGACCAAATTCTTCCCGCTTTGCGAGTGAGCTATTATTATTTGCCATCATATTTGAAACAATGTTTTGCATACACTCGCAATTCTTCCAAAAGGTTATTTGTTTTCAAAGATGGAAATTATCGTCTTTTGGATGGTCGAGGGTTTTGTAGTTGCTGTTGGCGGAAACAACAAGGTGGTAGAAGCAGGATGTGAGTTTTTTTAAGATCTTGTGTCGAGGTCTTTTTTTAAGCAATCAAGTGATGACTTCATTATGCATGATCGTACATATGACTTGGCAAAATTTGTGTCCGGAGAGTTTTTCATAAACGTGGCTTATAGCAATTCATGTTGTAAGTTTTCTAGCAAAACTCGTCATGTATCATATTCAACGACTAGCAACATAGAGAATATTAAGGGCATTGCTGAACTTAAAAATTTACACACCTTTTTATTCCCAATAGCTCCACAAAAGAAGTTTGGTGAAACAAAAGTGAGTAGATGGGCAACTAGCAAGACAATCCATGCTTCCTTATTTTCAAAATTCAAGCGTCTACGAGTGTTATCTTTGTTAGCAACGGATCGATTACTTGAGTCAATTGAAAACTTAAAACATCTATGGTATCTAAACCTCTCTTATGGATCCTTACAAAAGTTGCTTGAAACTCTAGTTACGTTGTACCATTTGCGGATATTAATATATTGCATGGGTGTGAAAACCTTGTTAACTTATCAACGAAACATGATGAAATTAATCAACTCGTACCATCTTTGAATTGACTTTCCATGATTGTTTTCAATGCTACAATATACTCTCTTTTTTAATTGCTAAATAGTAATTTTTAATTAAAAAAAGCGAAGAAAATAATGGATAAAAGCAACTAACTTATTATATGCATAGATAATAATACATGTTATACATATTTAAATTAATTTTATGTTGATAATTAATCTAAATTGGTGATTGAATTAATTAATTAATAAACGATTATCGATTATTCTATGGAGACGATTCATTATCTATCTTATCATTTCGGATGTATGCTACATGCTAGATTTTTATTTTATTATCATTTGTGTTATTTTCATGAAAAAAATATTCATACAAATTTATTATAAGTATTTAAATATAGAAATATAATCATAGGGGTATTATAGTAAATATACAATAATACATTTTCTTTCCTTCCTCTTTTTACAATTATCCAAACAAGAGAAATGTATTTTCTTTCTTTTCTTTTCCACTCTTATCCAAATAACAAGTGAAAATGATTTTCTTTCCTCTCTCTTTTCTTTTCTCGCATTTTGTTTCCTCTCTTTTCTTTCCTCGCAAGAGGAATTATCCAAACAAAGGGTAACTCTCTGTAACAAGCTTAAGGGGCAAATTGCTGTGACCTTCACCACCACACTCGCTCACCTCGATCCAAAGAAAACAAAAAACATAAAAAAAAATTAGCCACCTTCAATTAACAACATTAGTCTAAGTATGATTGAAACTAAAAACTTAAGAACAAATATTTTTGAGTTGGCTTTGGGTTGTTCTTTCTTGCCACATCAAAGACATACAAAAAGAAAAAGAAACGAAGTTAATCACAGGATACTCGGCCATAAAAGGCCTCGCGGTGGGTTCAACTACCGATAGGACACCTCAACCATGAAAGGACAAACTTTGTTTCTCCGGAAGAATATTCAACGAATCTAGCCGTGCTCTAGCTATCATTTTCTACGATGCATATATTGCCAAACTCTTACCCCCTGTTTGGATAGGGATGAAAGCGGGAGAGAGGAAAGAAAATGGAGTGGAAATGAAACTTTTACCTCATTTGGATTGTAGAGGAAATCGGAGGAAAGAAAAAAAATAAAGAA